ATACTTAAAACAAAACATAAAACAAACTAAGTATCAATCGATACTTAAAACAAAACATAAAACAAACTAAGTATCAACCGATACTTAAAATAAAATATAAAACAAACTAAGTATCAACCGATACTTAAAACAAAACATAAAACAAACTAAGTATCAACCGATACTTAAAACAAAACATAAAACAAACTAAGTATCAACCGATACTTAAAACAAAACATAAACCAAACTAACTTTAACCGAGTACCAGCTCCGGTTACATGGTTAGTCTGAGATTGTGATAAGGAAAAGAGGAGCTAATATATTTGGAACCTCGATCACATCATAGGCAATGGTGGCGAAGGCTATGGGTGTCCATCGGCATACAGTTACATGAATCACGCAGGGTACTTATGAGAATGCAATAGAAAACAAGGGGAATAGAGATCCTCTTGCCGATGAGAATCTCCACACCAAGAAGTGAACTGGATGACCCCAGAGGTTTGGTGTTGCCGAGTAAGAAAGGGTGGTCCAAATTGCAATAAAAGATGCATCAGCTTGCCACAAGTCATTCACTCTTCTCGCTTGAGAGTGTTCTTTCAAAATTAGCAATATTACAGTTGCTGGAATTCTCAATGCGGCAGGGTATAAGCAGTGTATTCCCTGGGAGAAACCATTTCTCACTGAGCCTAATACTCAAAAAAGGCTTGGCTTTGTCCTCGCTCATGCCTTGAAACCAATTGAGGGGTATCGGAATAGCTGGATCTGGACTGATGAAATGTCCCTTATTGTCAGATCACATTATGGTCCAGAGAAAGCGTGCTACAAAGGACAGATGAGGAATACCATCCAGACTGCATTAACTTAAAGTGGCCAGGAGAGACCACTGTGATGTTTTGGGGAGCGATCATGTATGGGATTCCTCTATGTGAATGCCCATTTTTCATATGGGAGAAAGAAAGTGTGGAGGAAAAGGTCGAAGCAGAAGTGATTCTGAGGCAGGAGAATATACGAAAATTGAGAGAAGGAATGAGAGGGGGCGGGAGGAATTGGAAAGGATAATTGTTGCAGGTAAATATTATCTACCAAATTGGATAAATTTAGATGGTAGCAAGAAGCAAGGCTGTAAGCCAGACCCATTCTGGGAATTCAAGGAGCTAAAAAAGAGGAGGAGCAAGAATCGAAAGGGAGGAATTGACTGGTTCCGCTACCAAGAACGCGTCTTGAAGCCACTGTTGTATCCCTTTTACAACAGTCTAAAGCAGGATCGTACCAACATCCAGCTTATGGAGGATAGTGCTTCACCACATCGAGCCAAAGCCCTAAATGATTTCCATCATAGCCAGCAGATCAATAAGGTTGACTGGCCTCCTGGTATGATTTCTTGACTTACTATAGATTATACTCAAAGTTACTAATATTTAATATACAAAGTATAGCCTCTCCCGACTTCAACCCAATTGAGTCAGTATGGAATATCATGAGACAGAGGATAGCTGGCCGGAGACCTTTTCCAAACTCTAAGGCAGCAACAATTGAGGCATGGATAGATGAGTGGAAGAAATTGGAGGTGACTCTGATCAACTCGCTTATCACACGAGTTCCAGAAACACTCCAGAAATGCATTCATGATGAGGGTGGAAATCATTTTCAAGGCTAATTTACTTAATTCATGTTTTCTTTATTTTAATTAGAGCTTCATTACTTATAATATATTGTATTGTTGAGATATTCGTGATAGTGGTTCTTCTCATAGTCTTCATTCTATGTAGTTGCTGCACGAACGTTGTATGTACCATAACTTATTTTAAGCGTGAGTACGGATAAGGCACGAATCCAGATCCCCCCGCCACCGGATGGAAACTGGGAAGGCGAGGGTTATCGCGGCTTAGGCTCGGCTATTCCCAAACCGAAGTGCCGATCGGTTCAAGGCTCTACTCGGGTACGAGCAGACAAGTTTGGATAATTTACTGGTTGACTACCGGTAGGATTGTTGGAAGGTTTTGTCCTTCTATTCTCCCCTCCTTTCCTTCACCCAGCCGAGTAACCAATAAAGTTAGCAATATGGATGAGGAGGGATGGGGGTGAGAAGTTGCTGCTCGAGGAGATCATTCGGTAAGGGAGGCGGCTATCACATAGGAATGCAAAGTTGGGTATGATACTGTACGGTACTAGCACTCGAGGATGATTCAGTCTAAGTTACAGGTAGACGAGAGGCAAGGAAGCACAAGCACCGGTAAAAGGAAGGGTAACCCTCTTTCACCCACCACCAACCTTCTGACCTACCGTAGAGCTGCCGACTTCGTCCCACCCACTCCTTCCGTACCGCACCCTGCCGCTACCATTGTGGGTGGACTCTGCCGTCTCTTTCTCTACCTACTGCCACAGTATATATACAAAATACAGACGCTCACGCACACTCCCATAAATCGAAAACCCATGGATCCCCAGCAGCAGGAAACCCCCACATTGGGAGCCAGTGATAAGGCTCTTCAGGATGCAAGTTACTCTCTCTCTCGATCCAGTCGCAAGGCTACCCCACTCACAAACGACTAATCGGAACCCGTAGGAACTCTCCACCCTTCGAATCTTCCGTGCAACGCTGGAGTCTGTGAAACAAGTCGTCGACGGAATTCATCGTGATACGGTGACTGCGAAGGAGAATTGTGGTGCTGTCGTTGGTACGTTATCCCCCCCCCTTCTTTCTCGTCGCCCCAACCCGTTTCTGCCTGAGGTACCGAGGGAGGGGGCGGAGGGGTTGATACATACTGTAGACTAACGAAACCCCCCCATTGCCCCCCTTAACCCCCTCCTCCGCACCCTTCGCTCCGCTACCATATCCATATGCTAGGAGCGGAGGTGTTGAGTTGGTGGGTCGGGGTGTACTGTACTGTGGGGAGCGATATTGTAGACTTGACGAAGCGTTGGGAGGAGGTTATTCTGGAAACGTCGTCTTCGGCCTCTGCGGCAGCTGAGCCAGTACCGGGGGGGGCAGCAGGTGTGTCACCATCATAGCATGGCGATGGAGACCGGGGGGGGGGGGGGCTTTCGAGATGTCTAAACCGTTATAGACTACTATGCTAGCACATATTCCCCATGTCATCAAATGCAGCGTGAACATCCGCATTTGCTCTAGACACCGGCAAAAATGGGTAACTTCTTTTTGTATGATACGAGTAGCCGGAGACTCCTCATAACCGCTCCCTTTAGCAACGATTAAGTATGTTTGAAAGGTCCGAAACTCGGCACCAAAGGAAGGAATGAAGGAAGAGGCTATTCCCACCATCCACATGCGGCAGTTCGGTCCTGTACTAGTACTGCACAGTACTCGCACCACATGAGGACATTCACACCCCGCTTGTATCCTAGGCGGCTACAATCTACGAGTAGAGAATCCATCCACTGCACCGAGCGATCAGGTCAGGTACCGGTAGGTCACACACAATGCAGAAGCAGAATGGGAAGAAGGAAAAGGCCGAATTCACTGGATTTCCGGCACAGCGAGGTTTGACCGTGGAGGATCATTCCTTCCCACCCAGTATTATCCATTCAGATCAGGTATCATACCAGTACCGTCCTGGCAAAGTATGGTAACCCCTCCCCCACTCCATCACTTCTGACAACAACAAAATCTACTCGTAAGCTACCATACGCGTAGCTATAAGCTAAGAAAACCAGAACGAGCAGCATTCCCTACCGTACCATACTCGTACGGTACCCATCATCTTATCGTACCTCCTAACTATGATACCGGTACTTGCACGAGCCGTTTTAACTAACGTTCCCGACCGTGTTCTTGGCCACCACCTAGAGATTAGCCACCCCACAACAACCTCGCAGATAGTACTTTCAATCCAATTCCTCAACGACAACCCAATTTCCCAAAATGGCAGAGATGTCCACAATTCAAATACGGGAAGAGGCTCTCTCAGAAGCATTTTCTTACTTGAAGGACCACCCCGAAGCAAGTTACCGTTCAGTTGCACGCCGATTCTCACTAAATAAGACTACCCTGATAAACCGCTACGAAAACCGGACAAGAGCCGCACGCGATGCCCACCATAACCAGCAAAAGTTCACTCCGGCAGAGGAGGATCAGATAGTGAGATGGGTGATAGAATTGGACGACATGGGAATACCGCCAAGGGGGCATTTGGTGAGGAAATTGATGTTGGGGATGTTGCAGGATCGGGGAGATCTTGCAAACAATGGGAGTCAGCAACTAGGAAAGAGATTTATTGATCGCTTTCGGAAGAGACATGCAGCTCTTGGTAGTCGGTTTGCTCAAGCTGTTAATCGAGAACGGGCACTTGCGGGTGATTCTACAGTATTAAATCACTTTTTTAATCGCCTAATCGAGATTCGAAGTCAGTACCATATTCTCCCAGAGAATATCTGGAATGTCGATGAGAAGGGTTTCCTTCTAGGTGTATCGAGTCGGGAAAAGGTTCTTTGTCGCAGTACAAGAAAGAATCCCAGGCTGATTCAAGAGGGAAGTCGAGAATGGATAACCTTAGTGGAAGCTATTGGAGCAGGAGGAGAGACGATAGCACCCTATATTGTCTATAAGGGTGAAGCTCAATATATGGGATGGCATGATTATGAGGAACGGGAGGAGGCCACATTCGCTCTCTCACCAACTGGGTGGTCCAATAACTATATGGGTTTCAAATGGCTTTCTGAGCATTTTCATCCTTACACTCAACCAGCCGATCACGATGCATATCGACTATTACTGATTGACGGTCATGGTTCTCACCTGAGCTATGAATTTATCTCATTCGCTCTTCAGCATCATATTCGGCTTTTATGCTTTCCATCTCATGCAGCACACCTTCTCCAGCCCCTCGATGTGGGTATTTTCTCTCCCCTCCAGCGCTACTATGGTCAGGAAGTGGACATCTGGTCAAGAAACCATGGTCCTCTTGCGTGGATACACAAGGGAGACTTTTTTCCTATGGTAATGCGGGCACGTACGAGGGCTCTAACTAAGAATAACATTCTGAGTGCCTTCCGCGCGACCGGAATCTGGCCAATTAATCAACGTCGTGTACTTGACGACCCTACCCGTCAAAATCCTGATCCAGCATCCTACCGACATACCCGCCACCTACCTCCCCCTACCTGGCAGCATGAACATATTGCTGAGATGGAACGCCTTGCCCTGCAGTCCTCTGAATCTACTGTAACACATACCTTTATCCGTCAACTTGCTTCTGCTGCTTATACCAGTGCTGCAGAAGCCCCAGTATCAGCTGAACTCCTCCGCCAAAAAAAGGAAAAGCAGCCTGCAAGTAAAACAGACCGTCGAGTTATTACTAAGGCGAAAGTAATTGGGATCAGGGAGCTTCACTGGCTACGGAAGAAAAGACTACTTGATGAGGCAAAGGCTCGTGACAAGAGGAGGAAGCAACTTGAAACTAAGCTGAAAAACACATCTGCTAAACGGTAGGTAGCATTAGTTCAAGAATTGAAAAGCTTGGATAGTGAAGTTACGGGAGTGAGGGACAGTGTCATTGCTGGGGTCAATACGATCGATGGTACTTCAGACATGGAATGAGACCCCATTGGGGACACTCTCCACCGACCACCCTTATCTGAAATCTCGTTTAACCAAGCGGGTGATCCAGGACCTGCGACTGCTGCTTTCCGGAGCCAATGTCTGGACTAGTTTTTTTTTTTTTTTCTTGCTATATCCTGATTTGTTACTCAGTCAGTTTAGTATTTTGTCTTTTTGTATGGGCAGTTTTCTTCTCTGACTTTTAATTTTTCCGCTCAAATGAACTCTGAGAATCAGTAAACCCTATCTGTCATAATATTTATCCGGAATTGAGTCCAATGTCATTGGCTTTCATGAGGATATCATTCCATAGGTCATTGTTGTCAAGTGGCTAATCTCTAGGTGGTGGCCAAGAACACGGTCGGGAACGTTAATACTTGTAAGAACGGGATATGGGTGTGGTAAAAAAAAAAAAAGTAAAAAAAAAAGGTGTCGTAGTCTACCGTACCGCCCGCTCCCATCCCTTTCATCTCTTAACAGATCCACCTCCCCTTCGCGTAACTTGCCTGACTCTTTTTTATTTTTATTTCATATGCTTATTGATTCTGGTTCAAAAATGTACATGCACCTTGCGGTATGGCAATAGAAAGAACCTTGATTCCGGTACGGAGCGGTGGGGGAACGCGGCTGGTGCAGCAGTATCTTCAAAACGGAGCAAAATAGCCCCTCATATCACCTACAATGATCAACAAAGGAAAGTAAAGAAATCCTTGCCCCCAGGCCTAGGCCCAGAGCATAGAAAACACATGAAAGGTAAACCTCCACCACCTCCACTCCTGGGTGCCCCCAGCAGCAAATGAAAGCAAGGAAGAATATATAGTAGTGAAACCATGCAGCCAGTAGAGCCTCGAACAAATTGGGCCCCCTAGTAAGTGAACCAGAAGAGCAGGATAATCCTGCTGACCTGGAAGAAGATGTGGAGTGCAAAACAGAGTTTGCTCATATTGCAGGTATTGTGGGTTGAAAACCAGTCATAGAGGAGGCAATATAATTAACCAAGTGAAGAATGAGGTTGACTGAGGACCATGCAGAGAGACATTGGGACCTAAGCTGTTGATGTCCTGAAGATAGGCTTCATTCTGCCTGGCCTTGGCTGGACAAATAGAATAGTATGCTTGAAGTCTTTCTCATCCTCCTCATAAAGAGGACAGAGTATAGGTTCCTTGCTGGAATACTAAAATCTGTAAGCTACAAGGTAGCTCTTTCCTGCCCACATCGGATAGAGACGACCTGCCACAAACCTCGGAAGGCCTATAAAGACATGGGGAGTAGTGGAGGACATGTAGTGGTAGGATACCCAGGGGGGTATCTAAATATCCCATCCGACTAGTAGAGACTCTTTCGATTTTGATTTAAGGCTATGATAGGAGAAGGAACCCAGGACCTCTTAAGTCCAAGCAACAATTAGGTGGGGGGCAGCTAGAGCTAGGACAGTTGGCAGAAGATCCTTAATGGAGTAGATTGTTGTATTGAGTGAAATGTGTTTGTAGTCAGAGGATAGGATCAAGGACTAGAGTGTTGGCATAGCATACCCTTTAAGACCCTTGAGGAGAGTACAGTTTGAGGGAGTCCACCACCTATCCCAGGTTGTGATCCCCAAATAAAGACAGGCATTGGTGGAATTCATGGAGGAGGGAGAGCTAGTAAGCCTGACGGCAGCTGCCTTCTGCTTGAAAAGTAGGATCTTATTAAGCAGAGAGAGAGTATTATAATAACCCTAGGTAATAGAGCTATAGCAACCTATGTCTATGCCCATACATAAGACCAAGAGGTCAGATAGCAGACTACATGGGCATGCTGGTGCATGTCTGAGGGATATCCGATGGTCTGGGTATCCTGAAGAACAGAAGGTACTTAAGGAATAGGTGTACCTAAGTAGCGGAATTAATGTGACTATGTCCACTCCGGCCTAAGGATAGGTTGGAAGGCTGAGTGAGTTTACCATGTCTAGGAGAGTCACATTACCCTACCATGGAGACCAGCTTTGTGTCACCATGGATATATTTACCCTACCTTTGAGATGCTATTACCCTACCTTCTGTCAGAAATGTTAGGATTGTTTGTTACTCAATAACAATCAACAGGCACTTGCTTGCATACTGATCTGAGGACTACGCGAGGAGCTATAGTGCTCCAAACATGCTGTAACATGGCAGGATTGTTCCTAACAGGTACCTATGGCCCCAAGGTTTGCCTCAGGTGTCATAGGCTAAAATGAGTGAAGTTGCCATCTTACTAGTTAAGTAGAGTTTATGAAGACATGTCCATAATACTGTATATATCGCTGCCGTCTGTCCCACTGTAGGCTGTTTGCAGGATATATAAGGGGGCCAAGGTGAGAAGGTCAAGTACCTTCTCGAGAAGGAATGGAGTAAAATGAACCAAAACTGGCAGAGTTAGCATGAGCTATCCAGAAGGGTCCTCAGAGTACTCCTGGGTGGTGCCAGAGACA